CACCTTCTCTCTGTGCCCCAGAGGCGGAGGTTCTTCAGGACGAGAAAGCGGAAAGCTGACTCCTTCTCCCAGACCACATGGCCTGTGGGCCTGTCTGCTTCCAACCAGATGTCCGTGATGGACACGGTGATAACCCCGAGCTCTGGGGGGCGGCGGGGGGGTGGCACAGGGGCAGCTGCTGGCTCCCGATGGCACGTGGCCAGCGGCCGGCCATCTGTCGCTGGACAGCGGCCACTCGGGGCTTGTCCTTCCCTGGAGGAAGCATTTCTGGTGCTCCCCACGTGGGGGACGGTGAGCTCTTTTCCGTTTCCCGTTTTTGCGTTCGGGTCTGCCTTGACGAGAACACTTAAAGCAGAGGTCACGGCTCGAAATACCCTCTGGGACTCCACTCCACCCTTGACCCAGAGGCCCAGCCCTTCTTGCCCCCCAGCACTTACAAGAATCGCCCTCCCCACCTTCTTGTCTGGATTCCCTATTTTAAGTCCTGTTTTTTTGTATCTGGCTTCTCCCACTGAGCACAGCCCGTGGGGTTTGCCCGACAACACCCGCTGAAGCCAGAGTCTCAAAAGGCATGGGTTCAAGAACTTTCTTTTCTGCTCGATGGCTCTGGGGGCCAGACGCTACAAACCTGCCCTGCTTTGTGCCCTGACGGGGGGAGGGGGTAAGGGCAGAGGCTCCAGGGGGGCCTGTGGAAGCAGGTGCTGGTTTTGCAGGAGGTGGCTCCTGGCTCACTGGGGGTTGGAGAGAGCGCCGAGATCTCTCTTCCTCCTCAGCCCCCATCTTTCTGGCTTTAGGCTCAGCACTGATGACTGCGGGCGGGGACACCTCTGCTCCATACCTGGGGCCCGGGGCTGGCCTCCCAGGAGCCCTGTGCCTGGGACCTGGCAGAGCCCTTGGCTGGGAGTCCAACAGTGAGCGGGGTGGACACTCGAGAGCCTCCTCTGGCTGGGGGTTTCTCGTTATCCCGCCCACAGCACGCTCAATGCTCTGTGGGAAACAGTCTTGCCCAATTCTCAGCCATCCTTACCCCGGGTAGAGACGCTAACAGGCTTAAGCCAATCAGCGCAGTCGATCCCAGTCCCAATGATTGGAGCGTGTCGGGTTTAGACCCCTTTGCCAAGCCAATGAACACAAACGTGTGCTGGGGCACTGGGAGGAGCAAGGTTTCTCCCCCACTGGGGGGATGGCGGCAAAAGGCAGACACCAGGGCTTGCCAGGGCCACCACGGGCAGCCTGGGGACGAGCCTGGGGGAGAAGGCAGAGGCCCACCCCCCATCACAGTTCTCTGAGATGCTGGATGGAACCCAGCTGGGAAAGCCCACCTCAGGATGTTTTAAACAGGGAGCCGACGATTTCCTGGTTTTGCTCAAAATGGTTGACTCGTGCCGTCACGGTTGTTGGTTCACTTTTGCAAGTCGCTTCCCTTCCCTGGCTCCTGCTCTTCTGATCTGTTAAGTGGGAAGGCAGGCGGGCTTGAACAGGCCTAGCAGGAGGGCGAGACGGCCAGGACCGGGCAGCCGGGCCGGACAGCCTGCGCCTCCTCCCCACGGGGACCTGTTCTGACTCAGCAACACCCAGGAGCCGACTGCGCGCCCTGAACCTGTCACCCCTGTATGGGCCCAGGAAGAGCTCGGGAGTCCACCCTGCTCCCTGTCTCCGTGGCCACGGGTCTCAAGGGCTGTCCCTGGGCTCAATCAGCCAATCGACAGACGCCTGCTCTAGTCTCTGAGCGTGGATGATCAAGATGACGACCTCACAGTGACTGATGAGCCTTCACCGGTCACGAGAGTCTCATGCTTTGGAGGACTTTAAAACGGGCACACGTCATTTGTGTGTTGTTGTTGTTTTTTTTATACATCACATTCTGGATTCTGAATCTCTGAGAATCTAATGAAGGCTAAGGAATCTCTCCCAGTGACGATGCTCATATGCACAGGCCTGGGGGGGAGACAAACGCGGCATGCCATTTCTGGGGACCCCTGGGAACTGCCCAACACCACCTGTGGCCCCGCAGCTGACAACATGCCTCCCTCCTTGTTTGTAGAGGGAGAGGCTGCAGCCGGGAGAACGGGGCTTGCCAGAGAGCCGCAAGAGCGCAGGAGACAGGCCCCGTGGCTTCCGAGACTGGCATGCCTCACGCTCCCCCAGGAAGCTGTCACGCCTCCTCAAGGTGGCATGGCCTGTTAGCAAACGCTCTCAACAGGAAAAACGGTTTTTCTGATTAAGGGTCAGTAACTAGAGCCAACAATCACTGTCCTCCTATACGTGTGACCCCACTCCCCACCCGGCCCCAAGGGAGTCCCGCTCTGTTTTGGAGATTCTTAGCCCGAGACTGAATCCAATCCACGATGACGAGGAAGGAAGGTGGGGCCGAAGGGAAGGAGGTACGGAGCACCCTGCAAAGCTGCCAACCTGAAACCCTGGGATCGGCCCACCGGCAAGCCCCCAAGCCCTAGACGCCCCCCACCCCGAGTCCGAAGCTCCCCAAGAACCTAGATTCAAGCTCCCCCACTCCCCGGCTGCCAGGCGAAGCAAGAACAAGCTCAATTAAGCCGTCAGGACCAGCCACAGAGCCACAAAGTGCACACGACGTCAGCGGAGTTAAAAGAATAAATCAATAAATAATCAGGAAGGCTGAAGAGGAAAGATCAGCGCAGCCCGGGAGGGAGAGAATGAGGTATGTCTTCTCCCGCTCTGAAACTCATGTTCGTGGGATGGCCCTGCAGCCCTCAGGACACCGTGCAGGTGGCCAGCAGGGACGTGGCCCAGAGCGTGGGTTTCCTTGGGGAAAGTGCCGGCTGGTGGAGGTTATGCGCGTGGCCTTGGAAGGTCATGGGCGCCACATCCAACGGTCTGTGAACGTAAGCAAGAATGATGCTCCCCGGCTGACGCGCCTCTGGACAGCACTGCCCGTCATCCTAGCTCTGCTCCAACTCAGGCGCTGCCTCAGGAAACTAGAAAAGATGCCCCCGAGCTACAGGGCAAGGGGGAGGCATTGCTGGGGGTCCCCTCTCCCGAGTCAAGGCTTTTGCCTTGTTTTGGCCAATGCGCGTGTTTCTCCCCAGACACAAAGGCACGCGGAAGTGGTCAGATCTGCTCTCAGCCACGGTTACAGCCACAAAGATCCATCGCTCCAGGGACATCGGCTGGGGAAGAAGACATCTGCCGGGGCCTGAAACGCTCTGCCACGAGTCTGTGAAGACCTTCGGGGCGGGGAGCCTCTCCGGCCACCGTAAATGAGCTTTGGGACGACAGCGGGGTGGCGGGGGGCGGGGGGTTGTCGAGCCAAGTGAGGGAGGGGCCGGGCATCGTGCAAAGAAAGGCACCATCTTGCCCCCAGTGTCCACATGGTCCAACACGGCTCTGTCCTGAGGTCTTCCCTGGGTCCCCGGGCAGAGGAAAAGTCTCCGCCCATCCGTCCCGGAAAACTGTCCTTTCCTTTAGAACACAGAGTCCCAAGTATCTGCCCCCTCCCCAGAAGCCAAAGGGACCTCGGTGTTTGGAGACTGGACCCTCCCCCGCATCTCCCCACCTCCCTCCAGCTCCGGGACAGCAGTGAGGGGCCCTCTCCATCTAAGACCAGTTCTGAGACTTCCTTCGCAGACCCGGCGGGGCTCGGGGACCTTGCTGAGCAGACGCTGCCAAATGTTGGCTCGCGGGAGGCCGCGAGGGGCACCTGAACGCCCCCACCCCCGAGGCTGGCCCTCAAAGCTCCCAGGACAGAATGGCCCCAGCGAGAGGCTGGGGCTGGACACAGAGAGGCGTGCCTCAGTTCTCCTGTGCAGCGTCATCTCCCCTTGAATATCCGGATTTTATTGATGGACGCCAAGGTGGCCGTCACGTTGGACTCAAAGTCTCCATCGTGCACCCCGGTCTTGCGAAAAGCCCCCGCCGATGGGTTGTTCTCCCAGTAGTGATGCCAGTTCCCCTTGCTGTCTGCCCCGAAGCCGTACAAGTCTACCTGCGGGGGCAAAACAAAGGTCAGAACCAGACGGCAGGGCCACAGGCAAAACCTCTAAGAAGGGGAGCCTGCAGGCATCTCCCGAGTCTGTAAGCAATGCTTCCCAAGACTCCTAGAAACCCTTCTCCGTAGAACCCGTCCGGTTCCTTACTGGAACTCCCGGGGGCTCAGGGCAGCAAAAGCAAGTTCCGTAAAAGTCAAGTGTAACGCCAGAAGGCACGGCGGGAGGCCAGCGCGTGGGTGGCCCCGAGGGTGCGGGGGCAGGACAGCCTCTTCTCAGAGGGAGGCTCCTGGGACTGGGGAGGGGGAGTGGAGGTGCCAGCAGGGCTCCCAGCTCTGCCTGGTGGAGCCAGCGAGCGCCAAACCGCTATTCTGAGCCTCGCGTCCCTCATCCGGAAAATGGGCCAAGAAGAATGACCGCGTTGAGGCAGGTGGCAGGTGCTGAACTCTTTCTTCCCTGAGGCTAATATCCATGCGGTTCGGGAGCCCTCACTGGCCAGTGGCCAGGGGGGCCTTTCCCACACGTGACCAGCATTTACTGAGCACTTACTCTGTGCCAAGCACTGCGATAAATACGTCAGAGTTCATCACCGGGGCCACCTGGGTGGGTGCTGGGGAAATCAGGGACTCGGGAGTCAGGTCTCAGACCTTGGAGCCTGTGACTTACCACAAGCACCAGTGAGGACGGGGGCTGACGTCAGGGCTCCCGCAGCACAGAGGACAGCAGGGCCAAGGACGCAAGGGATCTGAGATAGCAGGTGACACTTGAATTGGGTCTCGGGGGAGGCGTTGAAGATGTCCAGGAAGGAACAGGCCCTCCAGGGAGAGGAAATGCTGTCCGGGCTGCGGCAGCGGGGAGGGCAGATTTGGGGGGTGGGGCCCCACCGGGGGCAGGAGACACCTCGGTGGCCAGCTGGCCAGCACAGCTTTCTTGCGAAGGCCGGCAGGGCCACAGCGGCCCCGGGGCAGGAGGGAAGAGAAGGGAGTAGCGTTTCTGAGGCAGCCGGGTGGAGGTGAGGACGAGAGGTGGCTTCTGGGAGAGACAGCCCAGGCTCCTGGCGACGGTGCGGGTTCACGGGGAGGGTGGTGACAGAACAACCTCTCCCCCCTCCATGGATGTCCCCCAGGATCCAGGTGGGGCAGGGGCGGGGATGGCTGCCTGTGACATCTGATTGCCCCGCCCGACACAGGGCCAGGGAGGAAGAAGGGTGTAGGTGTCGTGGCCCCCCTGCTCCTCTGCCCAGGGTGGCAGTGAGCACCCCAAACCAACATGGCTTGGCAGACCCACGAAGGGAAACACAACACGCACTTGGCAAGATCACTGGTTCTCAGTGTCGGGGAAGAGTGGAAGCCCTGGGTGCCTGGTTTGCACCTTCAGAAATTCTGGCGAACACGGGCCTGGGCGTGGGCCGGGTGCTGGGATTTAGCTCTGGGGACGATTCCAAGAGCGGCCGGGATCGAGACCCCAGCTCTCCCCCATTACGACCTGCTCCATTATTGTGCCCCCAGATCCGAGCCTCCACACGCCAGCTGTGACTCGGCCTCGGGAGCCTGCACAGAGCGAGCCAGAACCCTTGCCCCTGCCAACGTTCTCGGGAATGCCCAGAGCGTAGAGATAAGGAACCGGAGCTTCTGGGAGGAGAGCTACGTCGGGGCCCGGGTGAGGCCGGGGGTCAGCCTGACTGCAGACACAGTCCCGGATGCTCAGAGAGACGCGGGATGCGGGGCTCCCCCCCGGGGCGGGGCGGCCTGGCAGGCACGGGGGGCGGGTGTACCTCATCGCAGATGTGCAGCGAGAAGATGACAGACAGAATGCCGGTGGATGGGTATCGCCCGTGGCCCTGCAGCCAGTTGTCAAAGACGTATTTGATGAAGGCCGGATGATAGATCAGGATCTGCGGGGAGAGGACAGGGCCCCTCGTGAGCACCTGCTGGGTGCCCCACACGGCCGTGGCCGTGGGGGACAGAGCAGCGAACAGAGCCAGCAGCCCTGCCCTCGTGGGCCTTCCCTCCTAGTGGGAAGGACCGGCGGTGGCCTAACCACGGAGGCAGAGAGTGCTAGATAGAACACAACTGTGGAGCCGTGGAGGGAAATGAAGCAGAAAGGCAATAAAGTACGGGGGTGGGGGTGGGGAGAAGGCTGGCTGAGAAAAGGGCTTCCGGTGACATTCACATCAGGCCAGGGAGGTTCCAGGGAACAGCATGCGGCGGGGTCAGGGACGCCTCCGTCACGGGGCAGGAAAACGCAGGGGCTGAGCCGCCCACCCGTCGAATGATCTCTGTGCCACGACATGACCCCACGCGCTAGCTTTCCCTCTCCTCGTGTTATAGATGAGGAAACCGCGCTCAGAGAGCCTAGGTGTTGTGCCCGGTGTCACACAGCCAGGGTGGCCAAGCTGGGAGGTGCCTGGAATCAGACCTGCCCTTGACTCCACCCCCACGGCTGCTTCGAGGACAGCGAAGGGGACGTCTCAGGCGGTAGAGGGAATGCATGTCCAGGAAGCCGAAGGCCAACCCCCAGGAATGGACTGGAACAGAGGACCATGCAGGTCTCCGGTCATCACTCAGCCAGGCCTCAAGGGACTGCCATCTCTGGGAGGCTTTCCCATGTACCCACTGGGCCCACATAGGGCTCCCCCCGTTCCCTGGGCGGTGCACCCGTGCAAATGGCAGGGGCTGGAGGCCCGGGTCCAGCCATACCACAAACTGGCTGTGTGTTCCTGAGCAAGTTACTCGACCTCTCTGATCTTGACCTCACCATCTGAAGAGGACAGCATATGCAAAGGACCAGTGGGGTGGACACTTCACTTCTTCCATCCTTCCGCCCTTTGCCCACGTCTTGGCCAACCCCCCTACCAGGGGCCCCCTGGGGACGATGGAGCTATGGAGGCAGGAGGGGAGGTCTGGCTTTGAGAAGCTCACGCCACACAGCGCTGGGTCTCAAAGAGCAGCCGGCATCAGCATCCCTGGAGGGCTGGTAAAAGGCCGGATCGCTGCCCCCTCCCCTCCTCTTAGAGTGTCTGATTCAGCAGGTCTGGGGTGGGTCTGAGTCTCTGCATCTGTGACAGGACCCCAGTGACGCTGCTGGTCCGGGACCCCCCACTCGGGGACACTTTGCCGGTGTTTGTGGAGCAGGGAAGCTGAGTGGGGGCTACGGCCTCCGCGGGCACGGGGGGCCCAAGGGCTCTCTGCAGCCAGGCGCCGGCAGAGGGGGGAGGTGGTGCTCTCCAACCTCGTACAGCTCCTTCCAAACGAGCCTGAGCTCAGAGGAGAAGGGGCCGAGTTCGACTCACCTTATTCTTTTTCACTTTGATCTTCGCGGGGACAGGGACGTAGGTGCTGCAAGGGGAGAAAGAGCGGTTAATGCGGGGGCGGGGGGGGGGGGCAGGCTGCCTGCACGCAGATCTGGCTGGGGGACACTGGAGAGGGAGGGAGGGATGCGGCCTCCCCGCCACAGCCCCGTCCC